CATATCAGTCCAACCCTCTAATAGCTAATGTCATCACCTCCCCCCAACTCCCTGCTACACTCCACCATTCCTGAACCCAAACCCCTCCCCTGGTTTCCCAAAACATATATGGAAAAAAAAGGAAGGGGATATGATGAAGGTTTCAAGTTTCTTAAGGGGTTTGATGGGAAAAAGGGGTGCCCGTGAGGTTGCATCCGGAGAAGTGGGTGTCTCGAATAGGAAAAGGGTTGGAGTGGCAGAGGCGAAGAGAAAAATGAGAACGAAGGGGTTTTGTCCATGGGTGTAGATATAGCATTATGGTTTGGGTTGATTTTGCAGCATGTTAAAATGATTATTTTAGTATTTCTGCTAACTCTGCTAGTTGACCATTAGTCAGCTGAGCTGAGCTGGCTGACTGTAAATACAAAAACTACAAGGGATGATGGAATGGGTTTTCATTAAACCTTACATGACAGTGCAATTTACTCTTAACCTTTTTCAAGAACTGAATACGACAATTCACTACAAGTAAATGGAGAGAATAAGGGAAGGGAATCTGCATTGTATACATATGCAACAGGACACAAGTATACATGTAAATACCTTCCCTGTATACATTTTAAAGCTTGAAATATTGCACAGCACTTAAGGAATGTTTGGTAATTTAGAGCCCTTAATCCTGCTCCTGCAGTCTTAGATCATTTCAGCAACTAATATTAATGCATTACATGAAAAGTAAGAAAGAGTGCGTTATTAGCCTGCAGTAGTTATAAGCTCCAATTATCAACTTAGGGTTACTGGTGACAACTTGAGGCTAGCCACTTTGTTCAAATGTTGCTAAGAGTAAAATCTATATCAGGATTTTATCACAAAATCATAGATTTCCAACAAGGTCATTCTTCCATAGTCCAGATATGCGATGGCTGTAACTGATGGTTACACTGCAAAATGAATTCCTTAAGGCAATGGCGCAATCATGATATTCTTTTCTCTCCCTTATTCTTATTGTACATCCTTGATTTTTTGTGTTAGTTTTTCTTGAAGTCCCATATTTCAACTCCGCCGTTTTCTTTTTTTGTAACTATCGCCTCCATCATTGATACTTGTTTAACAATCTGTTAGCCTAATTTATCATGCTTTCAGACCTTCAAACATATACCATCAGGTATATTTATTTTATGTGCTGCAAAATTCACTTTGGAAACCACGGTTATTAAAGCCTTAAAATCTGCCATTTACACTATCAAACCATCATAACTCAGGTAATATGTATTTTATTGATCATGTTAAAGTTGTTTAGGTAATGCAATTTGATGAGCCATTCAACAGATTAAGCAGTTTGCAAAAAACTGAAGGCATGGGATGCGTGCAGCTGTGCACACAATATGCACAATGTTTACAAACTAATATGTATTCAGGTAAGCTATTTACCAAGCACACAATCATCACGAAAGGAAACAAGCTTTGTACTAGAAACAAAAAGGCACCAAAACATAGCCCATAGTGAAGTGAATTTTTCCTCTTCTTTGAATTATAAATTTGACCTCTCGATTTGTGTATATCAATGCCGAAGGCCATACAAGTCTTCTTGCGTTATTCCAATTTCATTACATATCCCCAAAAGGTCGTGTGAAATACATACTCCATAATCACAATGAAAGAGAGGACAGGAGAGCATATCTGATAGGGAAAACTTCTATTACTTTGCTCTCACCTCTTTTTCAATCCATGCATCTGCACAGGTTTCACTTGAGTAAACTACATCAATGCTGCAACATTATAAAGCTCAACGTCACCAAAACTCCATTTGAATCTTTTTTTTATTTTTTGGGTCATACGTTTGAATCCATCAATAACATTAAAAATGTCGAGCAATAAAAAAGCAACAAAAAGCAATTGTAACAGCAAAAAAGTGTGGTTGAAACGTGAAGCTTGAAATTTACTACCTTCTTCAGGAACAACGTAATCATTATTGCAATCAATAATTCCTCATTGTTGTAAAAGCTGAAAGAAAAATGAACAACCACTCGACCGCAGCTCATAGTATAAAGATGAGCATTAATAAGTAAAAAAAGATTGCCACCAAAATTTTGGCAAAACTCAATCAAGTGAAGCCATTTAAGAGTGGTAACTTTGCACATGTGGGGTCCAAACATAAAAATTATAGATAGCTTCCTAAGAAGCACAAACAATTTTAAAATGGTAACATATCCATATTGGACAACGACACTCCTCGGGCAATCCCGAACACATGTCCGACACTCTTCTATACCTGTCCTTACTTAAAAGATAATATTTTAATTTCAAATACGTATCCGACACTTCCATAGGTCATGTCTACTACTAAAATAAAAACATACGCTAACATGTGTTTGCTAAAGAAGAGGAATTAAGAAGACGAAAGCAATCATTATAATTATACATATTCGCCAAACATTGTCTCTAAAAAAAATCGATGAATAATGACTACTATGATCCTTTAAAAATTGACAATAGTTGACTAGACATAAGATTAACTTGTCATAAAATATTGAATTGCTAGTGAATAGTACAACAATTAGTTTTCTATCTATTTCTAACATGTTCCCAACGCGTCCGTATCCGTGTCCTACTTCTTTAGAAATGCTGTGTCCGTATGTCCGAGTTGTGTTGTATTCGTATCTCGTGTCCGTACGCAAGCTTCTTAGGTGGCTTCACTTGATTGACGTGTCATCACATTTTTAATAACAAACTTATTACTCCGTTATTGTGGCACAAAGATAGGTTATTTAGCTTTAGTTTCCAAGTCAGAGGTATTAACAAGCATGTATCTCAGAGATGATGGCTGATTGTTATTTGTTTTCATTGCCATTCCAGTAGTTCAACGTGGTGAGATTCTATAAACTGTAAGGAATCACTTACTATATTTGTCAATGTGCATCCCAAACTTCATAAAAATTCGGTGGCCTAAGAGTCAGTTCACTAATTAAATATATATTTTTTTGTTAGAAATATGGCATTAGTGCATAAATCTGCACATGATAACCTTAAAAAAATTCTACACAAATGAAAGAAGCTAATAGTGTGCATTTCAGACATGTTCAAATGCTAGGAAGGAGGGTATTTTCAACAACTGGTTGGGTTAAGGTCAGATGTAAGAGTGCAAAAGGGAGATCAGAAATCCTCTAGCATCTAAAGGCATCATGCATGGAAACATAAATGTGTGCATTTGTTTGTTTGTCTTGGAAGTAGAGCAGACAGGAATCGATAACGAACAGTACAAAACTAATGAAAAAAGTAATAATAGTTCATATTCACAAAAAGAGTACCCGACAAAGTTTTCCTTGTGTGAAGGGAGCCCAGACATCATGGCATCGAATACAACTACCACTTTCACCTCTGACAATTATTCAAAATAAATTGGGAATGAGAGAGAAACACGATTCAAAAAGGGCCATCAGCATATAAACAAGAAAATAAAGAATGAAGCCCTTTTACAACTAATATTGTATAACTGGGAGATTCTCACACTAATTGAATGCCAGAACCTTCTAGATGGGGATAATCAGATAGAAAAACTGAACCAATTATTGAAAACCCCAGTTTTCAAAATGCATGAAAATATTTGTCCGCTACCTTAAGCTGTCGGAAAGACAATTTTGTTAAGTAAATAGTGAATTTAGAGTTCCCAGAATCCTTACTATACAACATCTATGAACCATTACGGCCACTTGTCACGTGCAAATGAAGTGTCAACTGAACAAATAAGAAAGAATAAAACCAAAAGATTCAAGCACCACTGTGAGCAACAAATGATTAATGACATGGAAATTTCACATATGAAATAGGACCTTCACTTACTTAATGGTTGCATTTTAAAAGATTAGCTAAAAGCAGGACAACAAAGGCCCTCTGAAGTTTGTTTAAACATGAAGTCCCAGTGTGCTAGTTGCTTTGGAAGGTGCTGACTGAATTGCCATGTGACAAACATGAGCTACTTGGCATACAAAAAACTGCATAAAATGCATACCTACAAACGCTGTAAGCTTTATTTAGTAAGTGGTAGAATTGAAGCTCTAGGACATCTCTGAAAAGGAAGAAATTAGGAGCTAAACAGCCAATGGATGGAGGCTATACTCAAATTACTAATGAAAAGCCAACTGAAAGCACCTCAATTTTGAGACAGTCCCGTTGTATAGGACGCGAAGATTATAAATGCACATGTTCAGTGGAGGTCCCCCGTTTTAGTGAACTCTATAAGTTGTCGGCGGCTCAACGATCTGTATTCCAAATGTTTACCAAGGTGAAGCTTTTGGCAGGCATTCTGTCATTTGTAGGTTTCTCTACTTCATGCTTGTGAGGTCTTACCTTAATTTATCACTAATTCCTGTACATAACACATATCCATTCAGAATCATGTCCCAACCTCTTTTAACCTGTATGGACCCACAACAATCTTCTTTTAGCATGTCATTCTGTAGAAAGCTATACATATGGGCTGTAAAAGTGAGACTCTCATTCACCACCTTCAATTTTCTTTTAAGTCAACCCATCCAACCCCTTTCCTAAAGAGCCATTTTCCATGTACAAAGCTCATGCATTCTCCCAGTTGCCTTCACACATTTCCTTCCCATGAAGAGACTCCTTTATTGCAGTCCTTTATCCCTCAGGAATATTATTAAAGCCTCATCTCAGCTGACTCTTTCTAATTTTCTTCCCTTTTCTGATTCTCATCACCATAATATGCCTACATCTGACATGCTTTAAAGCAAGATATTTTTTCCCAGAGGCTACAGTAAAACACTTACAATACATGCAAAACAGAGGAAATACGCAGATAGGACATTAAACAAATATTAAAGCTACTGGAAATTTGTATGACATAAATAACAAGAGATCAAGTCATTAAAACTTCAAAAACCAAGAGTAAGCATATGGAGCTTATAGAAACAAGGTACATGACCTTCCCATGATTGCAGAAATTTTTAAAACCAAAACAAGGTCACACACACATTATTTCAGATAAAGTTTGCCACACTGTACTAAGGAGCCCTGTAACACAGCCTCCTCATATAAGTGAAGCGAGAAGCAAAGTACAAACCTCTTAGCATACTGAATGTGACCAGTTCATCAATAAGCTTTTGGCGAGCAATGTCAAGTCTTCCATTCATAAAATGTTTCTTCAGCTTCATCCAGTAGCCACAAACATTATAACCGTCAACAAGCAAGACCGGAACTGCAGTTTCTACACCCTGATTTGTACTGTTAACAAAATTTAGCAACGTCCAATTCTTTTCCATATAGTTCCAGATTAAATATTCTTAGATTAATAAATTGGATTAGGAACCTGGAGAGAAAATTACTAGTAAAGGGTCATAGTAGGATCGCGATAGAGGTCTGTTTCCTCTGGAATGTCTTCCTTCTCCAACTTCTTTCTGCGGTAACTAGTAGCAGGCTTAGCTGTGCTAGATTTTCTCTTTTGGAACTCCTGCAGTAGTTTACACCATGAAAACTGATAAAGTAGAAAAAAAATATCACCAATTTTTTTATGGATGCCATTTATGAACCTAGCACCCACCTTCCATAACTTCAAGAACTGCAAATTCTGCTTGACATTTGATGTGATCCTTGGAGGTGGAGGCTCAGCACCCTAACACGAGAAAGCTGGTTAGAGACGAACATGCCCAGGGTTGGATGGAACTAGAGTATCTTGGAGGCCAGACATTCTCACAATTCTAAGCCGAATGGTTGCGAGACCCCCAATGTCTCATCAAAAGGGAAGCAACAATTCAGCTGAGCCATCAGACATTGTTCATGAACTTTTCCCTTGGACCTTCGGAGAGGTAAGGAAGATGTGGTTTGTCTGTAGCAGTTTACAGATGAAAAAAAGTATTTTGTATCATTGATTAGGCATGTTGTTCTGTCTTCTCCAAAAATCTATTGGGAAACTAGGGCACACACAAAGTATCTTCTGGTTCAGTCTTTCCTGAACCATGGACACTCTCCTTAGGTGCATTCCTGATTGAATGAAATTTTCACCATTTAGTTGCTTCCGTATCAATTGTTCATAAAACTAGAATAGTTAGTGTGGTTTATTCTTTACAATCTAGATTTGTGTCCACCTGTGTAATTGGAAGGAGGATTATGCTACCTCTTGATTATTTGTTATTTTTACTTGCTTTCATCTCTTTTTTAGTGAACTTCATCAATTTTGGTTCATGGCAAGACATACCAGCAATAGGTATTATGTCAATCTATACATAATATATATTTTTTTTTCTTTTCCTTCGTTTGCCTAAATTTCAAGTAAAGTTTCTAGGAGCCTCATGTTTTATCCCCATAAAGTATTTCTTTTGTTATTTAATAGTCTCATGCTTTACAGCACCCAAATGGATTCCAAATTTGATGGCAATGAAAACGTATATGGAATCGATGGAAGTTTCTGATCTTCAACCCAATTCCAAGATGAATCTATTCAATCTTCTCAATTCAAAAGAACCATCTTTGCTTATTTGCTTCACCGAAATCATACTCTAAAAATCATGAGATGGCAACTTTACTTTAGAAGAGGACAGGCTTCTTGTGTCGGCATGACTTAATATCAGTTTGGATGCAACACAAGGGAACGAACAAAAACATACGATTTATTGGGCATCTTGTGTGAATAATTTCATAAGTACAAAAAATTTGCATCCATCGGACTCAAGTTTCCTTAATGATTCGTTGGTCGACCATTCAACTTGTTACCAATAAGTTTTGTGGGTGTTATGCTCAGATTGAATCATGACATCTAAGTGGTGTGAATGAGCAAGATAAGGTACTTCATGTACTTAGATAGTTACATTTAAGTTGAATATAATTTTTGTTATTATTATTTTTTTTTTTTTTTGCAGATTGCTAATGCTAACCTATTATACCAAGAACTGAATAAAGATAAACCTTCATTGCAATTTGAACATTGTTGGAATATATTACGACATCAGTTGAAGTGGTTGCAGGATTGCCAAAAGAAAAAACCAGCAAAAAAGTTTAAAAGTGCTTCAACATCTCTTCTTGTCTCATCTTCTTCCACTCCAAAGGCTCCAATAGATCTTGGGGAAGAATATATTCCAAATGATGGCCTTGTAAGACTTGGACAGACCACCAAGGAGGAGAGCTGAAAAAGATCACAAAAAAACGAAAGGATAGAGATGCTGAAAATGAATCTTCAACTACATCTATTGTGGCTTTCCCAGGTGAAATTTGAGGAAAAAAAAAGTTCAATGAGAAAGTAATGGAAATGCTTGAAAAGACAAATCTTCAAGAGCAATAAAGGCTTGCTCATGAGCAAGAAAAGCATCAATTGGAACAAACGAAAGAAGATGAAAGAATAATGTTGATTGATACTACTGGAACGACACCATTACTTGCAGGCTTTTATCGTCGTCGTCAACAAGAAATCCTTGCAAAGGCATTTAATAATTCGTAAGTATTTGTAGTTTCTTGATATTGATGTCCTTTTATTTTCATAAATTTGAATCACATGAACTCGACAACATCAACTAGCTCTATGAATTTTTCCACAAATGCTCGATAAGATCGTCTTGGGGTTGAAAATGGGTATCCCTGTCGCTAATCTGATGATGATATTTAATAAATTCCAAAAGTCCTGTGGTACTCTCAGGCAATACCAATATGTTAGGAACTATGAAGAACGAATACGGATACAGAATACAGGTACAATACAATACAGATACAGCGATACAACAAAATCTAAAAAAATAGTATACGGGTACCATCAAGATACGGTTATAATAAAATATATTTAATATTTTTATTATTTTGAATCAACTTAATATTTATATGTTTTGGTAATTCTTTAATACAATAAGGAAAACTAGTAATTCTTTTTAGTTTCAAGAAATATATATCGTATCACTATGGTATATTCACAAAGTGAAATGATTAATTAAATGAATCAAAGCTAATATTTATCGAGTCAGTTTTATTTAGTAGTAATTTTTGCTCAGATTATAACGTAGTAGATTTATTTTATAATCTTTTGACATATAATTGTAGATAATATTTAAAAAAAAACTCATGTTCCTTTGAAGTGGTACAAATTTTTGTTAATGTATTGTATGATATGTGAATTTGAAAGAAAATGTTAAAAATTCAACTCAAAAATTATATATGTTGCTTGAATACAAAAGTATCCGTAAAGTATCCTAATATTTAATTATTTTCAAATACGTAGGAGGTGTATCCGATATGTATACTCGAGTATCCAACGAGTATCGTATCCGATATGGGTACGTCGACCTCAACGAAGTATCCGTGCTTCATAGGCTAGGAATTACATCAATTGAATTGTAATTGAAATCCTTGTTAGTAATATCTTTCAATATTTTTTGATCCCAAAAACGAGTAGGTTACAATTGCAAAACGTGCTTGGAGAACTATCTATGAAGCATGGATATGGATGCGATGATACAACAAAACCTAAAAAAAAAAAAGATACGGGTAAGAATAGGATACATTTATAAAATATATTTTTTAAAAATTTTATTACTATATTTAATATAATAATTATGATTTACAAAGAAAATCACACATCTATCAAAAATATATAATAATAACTAATCATCCTATCATTCAGAAATCATACATTCATAAAATTTTCTTTTTTCTTTTTGCAAATAAGGACCCAAACATATTTGCTCTAGTGCCCCTATTCTCTTTAAAAAATTCAAATAATATCTCACCGTATCTCCGACGTATCCTCTATGTATCCCAACATATCCCTGCATATCCTGAAGTATCCAAAATTTAAATTTATTTTTTTTAATTTTAGGATACTTCTCAGCCATATTAGATACGTATCCGGCCGTATCGAACTATCCATATCTGGAAAGTATCAGATACCGATACTTTGACCCTTTTGAAGTATTCGTACATCATAGAGAACTGTAAATGCTCATTCTATATCTTTTCTTGCTGACTCCTAAATAGCAGCAAAATGTTTTTGTTTATTACCTTGTGGAGAGAGAAGTATTTTCACAAATGACCATTCGGGATATATTCGATCTATAAGATAGTATCCGATTTGATAATTATGACCATTAATCGAGTATTTGATTGAGGCAATACATCCTTCCGCAAGATCAGTAAACAAAGTACACCTTTCTAGCACATTGATGTCATTATGTGATCTGGGTAATCCAAAAAATGCATGTCATATGCAAAGATCTTGTAAAGCTACAGCTTCAACGGTAATTGTTGGTTCATGGACATAATCAACATAAATCCCTTTCCATGTAGTAGGACAATTCTTCCGCTTTCAATGCATGTGGTCAATGCTCTTTCACCTTCGGTTAGTAATGTAGCAACATCATCCTTGTTTGGTGGCCTTAACTCTTCAGAAAAAATATTAACCATTGCTTTAACAAAAGTTTTTAGACTTTCAATTGCAGTCTAAAAAATTATAGGATTTATATGAATTGACTGATGATCACAGATGTATAATCTTACGATTTATATGAATGTATATAATATAGGATGATTTAATGTATTAATGTATAATTTAAGTTTTTTAATTAGTTAAATATGCAAATGTTTGAATTTAAACTGATTATCTGTAACTGCAGGGAAAACACTCAAGCTGGAAACCAGAAGGAGATCAAGGGTCAGCAGCTGAAAGCCTAAGCAAGAATCCAGAGGATCAGCACCGTCCGGACAGTGCTGGTAGCTTCTGGCGGGTATTGGCCAGTATAAAGTCTCCAGTTCGCTGTGTTTTTTCCAGTCAAAAGTTCTCGCATAGTGGTGATTTAATTTGATTATGCAAGAATTTGCGTAGAATAAAAACTGGATTTAGAAGCAAAAGTAAATTAAGCAAAAACTCATAATGAAAGGTGAAAAAAAATTCCTAAATCAGTAAACAAGAACTTTTGATATCAACAAAAGTCATAGCATCACTTTCAGTTCCTCCAAAAGAAGAAAACAGAGTAATTTGCATGCTGTACATGAACACACAAGTCTAATTTTTTCCCCTACCTTTTTTTTCGTCTTTCTGGGGGTTAGAGTTTTGGTCTGGTTAGCGTTCATGTAATTGTCCATTATGAGGTTTGAAAAAAAAAAGACAAAATAGAGAGAGAGAGAGAGAGAGAGAGAACCTGAGAAGAAGGTGGTTGGGGCTGTTTACTCGTCTTGGTCACAATCTTGGAAAAATAGTAACGGCTGCAAAACCCACCACCACCGTATGCCAGTGCAAACACTGATGATGAAATTGCTTTCATGGGCCTATTGCTATACTATTCTTCTTCTTCTTCCTCTTGTAATATTCCATTATATTTTTCATCTCTCCCTCATCATCCCTGGGTCTGTAAACACCATTGATTTGCTTCACTTCTTCTTCAATTCCTCTATAGTGTACAGCACTCAAAATTAAGCAGAAATACCCTCTGACCGGACTGAAACCCACGAATTCTGGCAGTCGTGGCGTGAGACAGGCCACCCGTTCAATTTTCTGATTCCGGATCCGGAAATGCTGTGTAATAACACAGCCGCCCGAACTATTTTAATGCAATTTCGGTGGGGTTAATAACACTTTGTACCCCGATATATTTTTGATATTTTTAACTTATACCTTAAAAGTTTAAATTATTGATATTGTACCCTCAATAACATAAAAAAATTAGCAATGTGACCTATTTTAATAAAATTGAGTACAAAATTTTTATGTAAAAT